TTTTGGATGAGGTTGTTAGTTTTGTGCATAATATTTGAGTTCTTTAAAAAAAATGAAGGATTTTCATACTGTTTATCATGATAAATTCTTCATAAAGAGATTTTGATGTATTGTTGACAGGATAAAATCCATTTGATGTTTAAAAATCCTTAAAACTGTCCTGATTATTTTTTGCTATTTTTCTCCACTGCTTTTTCGATAAAGATGCATCAAAGAATAGCAATAAATTTGAACATATGACTAGATGCAGCTATTGTGTGAATTTCAGTGATAAAAGTCATATTTTTATGCGACTGGTGACCTAAATAACAGGATTACAAACGTATTTGAGTTTGTGGGGCTTTCATTGCTCTGCCAGGCAGTCACAGTCCTTCAGGTACCTTAAACAGTAATAAATAGTTCTTATTGCCATTTTTATCACTAATACAATACTGCCACCAAATATCAAGATAAAACTTCAACTCCATATCGGCCACTAGCGAGGGAAACACAGCATCTTGTTAAACTGATGTTTTGTTGAACCACAGCAGTTTGTTTCATTTGTGGAACAGGACAACATGAGATGCTGACCTCTAGCTTTTGATTTATTGATTTTATTTTCATTTACACCATAATTACACAATTTTCAGGTTAGTAATTATGGTTTAAATGGAATTAAAACAAAATTAAAACAGAAAAAGTGAAATTTAGAGCCCTACGGATGTCTGTCTCACCTTTCCAGGTCATCATCTCCAGACTGATTATTTCAAACTTTATCGTACTGGAGAAAGACTATTTCATTAGTCAGACAGGATTGATTATTGATCAGTTACCAATCAGAACGCTCTTCAGCCAGTTGTTGAAGTTCCTCATGTAGAAGATCCTGCTTTGACTTCGAACCACCAGTCCGACTTCCTGCAGCGTGTTGTAGTGACTCGCCACCTTTTCACCATGATCGCTCACCTGGGCGATCGATAATAGATCAATAACTGCTGCGGGACACTTTAACTACAAAGCATGAAGAAGCCACTGGAGATTAGGATTGAAATGATTAATGTGATTAATCGATTATTGAAATAATTGCTAACCTTTTTAGTATACAAACTCAAAAATAGGCAATTTGCTGACGAAAACAAAACTCAAATCAGTACTGAAGCTAAAACTGTACTATATATATATATATATATATATATATATATATATATATATGTTAAACTTAAGATAAAAACATATTTGTTTGTATATATGTTTGAGCCAAAACTCCTCAACTGGCAGTTTTAGCTTCACCGGGTTCAAATTCATTAAAATAATGTTATGTTATTGCATTAGTACTAAAATGTTTTTCTTATTCAAAAAGAGGCTATTTACTGAAGAAAAACAACATATTAAGGATAGAAATTAAGCCAAAACTGTGCAAATTGTGCAAACCTCATTTTTCATTTAAGAAAAAACATCTTTGTCTGTAACTGTTTTACCCAAAAGTCCTCAAGTTGCATTTTTTCTATATTCACCTGATTCAAATTCACTAAAAGATTGCATTCTAGGCAGTAAAACCTATTTTAAAAACGAATTGAATTGTTTATTTGGACTTTTTAATGCATTTCTAATATTGCATAAACAGGCATAAGCAGTTAAATGCAAAATCTGTAAAATATTCAATTTTTTTCCTCCCATTAATCATCTGAACAATCAATAGAATAATCGATTACCAACATTATTGTTAGTTGCTGCCATACAGAAGACGGTGAGCCTACCAGCTTCTTAGTGGGTGAAGTTTCCTCCTCATCCTCCTCTTCCTCACGTCTTCTCTTTACCCGTGACTTCTGACCCACTTCTCTTCCTCCTCCTCTTCCTCCTCCTCCTGCTGCTGTTGCTCCTTCCTCTTCATTCGTTCCTCCCTGTTTTTCTTCTGCCTGCTCCATTATTTCTGTCAGCAATGAACACAAGTCAAACTCAAACTATGCTTAGATGCATCGACACACCAGAATCAGATCATCACATCATTAGCTGGACTCTGCAGAACCTCATGACATGCTGCGCGAAGCAACGAATCAATCGCATAATGAGTTAAAATGAGTTCAATAATTTACAATCTGATTATTAATGTTTTTTGAAGGGTAATTTTGTTTACAGAGGCATCATAATTCATTTTATTTACGGTTTCAGTTGCATGTGTTTTTTATTCCACGTTTTATTTGTTGTTTGGTTGATGCGTTTCATTATGGACAGGCAAAATATCTTCCAGTTCCAAATGTTCCTCATAAAAAAAAAAAAATCTGGTTGATAAACAGCAACTGAAAGCAAAACCTCTATTTTACCAAATAAATATATGCTAAATAATAGCAAAAGATGAAAGAGAAAGTTTGAAAAATATATATTTAACAATCAGCCATTTTTCTCCTATATTTGTTTCAACAAAATTTTCCTTCAAGTAACTTTATTTTGTATAAAAATAAAATCTAATGTCTGACTTCAATGACTTAATCTCCAAGGTGCTTATGCAAACATTTCAAATTGCACAGTACACTGACACACAGTCATCTCCTGATCAATGTATGCACAATAACTAAAACATTTTCATTTTTATTGGGCCATTATATTACAAGTGTCAGCATTTTTACTCAATTTCTATTTGAAAAGACAGATTTTGGCAAAATAAATAAATAAAAATCCAACCATGAATCAAAAACTTAAAAAAAAAAAAAGTCTTAAACTCAAAAGTGAAATCCATTAGCAACTGGAAGATGATTATATAAAACGCCATCGGATGAACGTCACTGTCATTTCATTTTATTTATTGCGTATCATTTGTGTTTTGTTCGTAGTTCTGATTTATCTGATGATGGTGGACGTTAGGTTCTGTTGCCATGGAGACGTGGAGGGTGACAACGACTGATTTATTGATCCCAGATCAGATCGCCTACATAAATGAGATTTTTTTAATCCTAATTAGATTTCGCAGTTGCATAAAAATTTAAAAGTTGTGACATATTTTTAGAAAACTAACCAACCTTTTCCTCACTTATCAAGTTTGTTACAGACATTTACACTAACACTACTGGTAGAAGGATAATCTGTAAACAAGGCGAGTCGGTTATCATCAGTAAGTGTGACACGCTGCCAGACAGAAATCACCTGTTTGACTCAAATTAGCGTCTAACTTCCTACTAGCAGCAGGATTATTATTATTATTATTATTATTATGACGAAAGAAGCGAAACTGACGGTTATTTTTCTTTTATTTTCGGGTCTAGCGGAACTTCCTGGTCTTAGCGTGTGTATCTAAACCTGGAGGATAATCCAGCCTGTTCTTAACCACCAGCTACTTTCATCTGTGAGCATTAGCGACTAGTAGTTAGCAAGTTTATGCTAAACAGCTCCGTAAATGTTGGAAAAACAACATTTATGCCGCCGAAGATGAATCTGAAATAGGCGGAACCAACGACTAACACCTGTCTGATGCCAGATAGTATCAGAAACATATCTAAGGTCAAAGCTTAATTGACATATTTACGCCAAAAAGTTGTAAAGAGACACACATTTACTCACAGTAATCTGTAGAAACAACACATGCGCAGTGGGCAGCTTCCGGTTTTTGAACCGTTTCTTCGTCTTCATGACAAACAACGATGGGGTGATGCATCACCGCCACCAACTGGCTTGGAGTGTGGACAGGAATGTCGGCTCATATTTTTATGTAATATTACAGTTTTTCTCAGTTTGTTACGGTGTATTTAAAAAAAACTGAATTGAAATAATCAAAACTACTTGATCAATTTTCAAATGTCACTTGTACACATTTCTTGTTTTTGTAAGCCCATTGAAAGTGATTACAATTAAATGATTTCGTCTACATTTTTATTTCCTTGTGTCACGTTGATCAAAATGTATTATATCTCTGTTGAATAGTTCTCAACCTTCACAACACGTAAGCATAAATTTGCCGTATTAGTCTTAACGTTAACTGGTTGAACAAGTTGCCATAATACATCAAGCATATATTTCTAGACATTTCCATTGGACTGTCCCCCCCCCACCAAATCTCTCCTGAATTGAGAAATTGCGCATTTAACCAGCGCACAAACATGATGTCACATTCCTGACAAAGGAAGAACAAGAATTTGAACGGGGTCAGAAAGAAGAAGTAAACCCAGCCAGCATGCCTAGGTGCGCCCCATGTGGGGACAAGGAGGGCATACTATATGGGTCCCATATGGGTTTGTCCGCGGGTTCCACGATGGCCCCACATGGGTTTGCCCATGTAGGGCCAGAGCCCACATGGGCCCTGCATGAGCCCTATATGGTGGTGGCCCACATGGGTTTTGTCCAATTAGGGCCCATGTAGCACCCATTTGGGCTGTGGCCCTACATGGGCAGACCCATGTGGGGCCATCGTGGAACCCGCGGACAAACCCATATGGGACCCATATAGTCTGCCCTCCTTGTCCCCACATGGGGCCCACCTAGGCATGCTGGCTGGGAAAGGATGAGGAGTGAGTTTGTGGTGGGGGAATTAGAAGGCAAAACAAAACAAAAAAAAAAACTGTCTGTTTCTGTCGCTCTAACTTCAACAGGATGTGGTTTCCAACCCACAATAACATGCTTTGTACACCAAATGACAGTAAAAGCACACACTATTTTTCTCACTATCTGCAGTTAAATGAGACAAAACTTCACTTACTTTAGAATAACGCATCAAAATGGCTTTCTGAGTTCAAAGTAAATATGAGTTTACAATTAGAGCAAGGGAATAACTGGGGGACAAGAGACAAGTAAGTATACAATGAGAATATCTTACTGGTACTCTTCAGTAGGGGGGATTTATTCTACTGGTCTGCAGAATGTAGGAAATATGAGACAGAGAACAACATTGTCCATGGATTTACAAAGTTTTAGACAGATAAAGTTGAAGAGAAATGAAAGACTACGTTTTTTGTGGAAAATTGGTCATGTTAAGAAACATTTCGATGTGATTATCATATAATCCAGAGGGTGGCGGTAATGTTGATGCCGACAGTCATAAAACCCCGAAGAAGAAGAAGAATCCAAAGCGGAAGACGGATGGTTTGTTTTGTCGAATGTGCGAGTGTTTTCTGTAAAAAAAAGAAAGAAAAAATGTCTTCAGTACAGTTTCAACGAGTGCTTATCAACGATCAGTTAACTCATACTGGAGAAACATTCACAGAGTTTAAAGAAATCGTCATCAAGTCCGAGGAAGAGATGGATTTAACTCGGACATCCCAGATAGTCTTAAACCGAAAAGGTACGAAACACCAGCGTTTGGATGAATATATCAACTGATCTGTCCGTTTACACTCCTGAGTTTTCAGGTGTGCTTATATGTTGATTTCTGTCTTAAACGATTTCTTCGATAAAGTTAACGACTCCTATTTTTATCTGTTTTATTGTCCAGACCACCTGCAACATAACATTAATAAGGAGGAGCCATGTAAACAGGAGAGGAGCTTCACTCCGGACCAGGAGGAGTTAGAACCTCTGCAGGTGAAGCAAGAAGATGAAAATACAGAATACCAACAGATTAAAGAAGAGCAGGAGGATCTAGGATATCAGCAAATAAAAGAAGAGCAGGAGGAACTCGATTATTTGCAGATAAAAGTGGAAGAGGACGAAGTTTGCTACAGTCAAGGTGAAGAACAGCTTGCACTAAAACAAGAAACTGATGCCCATTATGAGCAAATTCATCACACTGAACCAGAACCAAACAGGACCCAAGTCATCTTTCAGGAAGCTGCTGAAGCCGAGAACCAAAATCAGGAAAGAAGCAATGATAACTTTGGAGCAAAAAGAGATGAAGGAAAGAAACATAAGAGGCATCAGAAAACCAGACAGCATGGGGACAGTTCAAAGCAAAAAGATCATGAATACCTTCCTCAAAGTAGTGACTTGGCTAAAAAGACATGTGAGAGGCCTGTCTCAAGTAGGAAGAGTTTCAGCCGAAAAGATAAATTAAATCGTCACATGTCAGACCGCCCTGGTGAGAAACCTCTTCTATGCGTGAACTGTGGAAAAGGTTTCAGTTGTAATAGTGACTTAACTGTCCACATGAGAGTTCATACAGGTGAAAAGCCATTTCTGTGCGTGAAGTGTGGAAGAAGTTTCAGTAGAAGAAGTAATCTAACTGTTCACATGAAAGCTCACACAGGTGAGAAGCAGTTCCAGTGTATTACATGTGGCAAACATTTCATTTCAAAAGGTTCTTTGATTATTCACGTGAGAAGGCACACAGGTGAAAAGCCTTTCCAATGTAAGACCTGTGGAAAACGGTTTGTTGATCAATATTCTGTGAATCTTCACATGAGGAGTCACTCGGTGTTGAAGCCTTACATCTGCGTGAACTGTGGAAAAAGCTTTGCTCAGAAACAGAATTTAATAAGTCACATGATGATTCACACTGGTGAAAAGCCTTTTTCATGTGTGACCTGTGGAAAATGTTTCAGTCAAAAAGGTATTTTAACTCGTCACATGCTGATTCACACAGGCGAGAGGCCTTTCCAGTGTCTGACTTGTGGAAAAGGTTTCAATCAGAAATGCAGCTTAACTGATCACATGACAATTCACACAGGTGAGAAGCCTTTTTCATGCTCAGCTTGTGGAAAAGGTTTCAGTCGGAGGCATGCTTTAACTAAGCACATGAAAAGCCATGCGCTTAGTTAAATAAAATCTACTCTAGTCCAAGTAAGTCATTTAAAACATACTTGACTAAAAGGTACTTAGTCACCTTGTAATAACTTTTTAAGAAAATACTCTCTAAATGCGTCACTTTGGATGGAAAAGTAGTCATAATTTGAGAAGTATTTTTCATGTATAATGATAAAGTTTACTGTAAAATAATTTGGGTAAAAACCAGAATGATAGGAGGACTTCCTTATCTATGAACTGGAGAAATTGTTTAAACTAAATATGGAAATTAACACTTCCCTCAGGAACTCGCACAGGTTAAAGACATTTCTAGTTTGTGGAAAAGATCAACCGTGATCATTTGATGGTTCATAAACCTCATAGATCAGAAGTTGTAATAGCATGATTATTGTAAAATTTTCTGATTTTGGTGGGACTTTGACATTTCCAGTAAAAAATCTGTAGTTTGCAGTTCACAGTGAAATTGAAACACAAGTGTGGTAGTTTTGTTTTTAAAGTGAGATTGAAACTGATTCTGTCATTTTTAAAATTGTTATTTTAATAACCAGTGTGACTACCTATTTAAAAGCTAATTCACTCTTACATTCATTGATTGTTTTTGATTGTACAAATGATCTGTGGTTGTCTTCAATAATTGGGCATGCCATTCTTTTTTTGTTTTCCAGTTTTTCTCGGTCACTTTGGTGCATTTCTTGAATCATCGCTTACATTCGCAGAACAGGAAGTGCATTTCTCAAAACAATTTGTACAAACAGTTAAGACAGCCAGCAATAGCCAGTTTCTTTCTCAAAGTCCTTAGTTTTGTCTCTCAAAGGTAAATATTTGTGTCAATGAATATGTCTGTGCCTCAGAATGTCAAGTCATTGTTTCGTTGTGTACGGATGCGAATCAAATTGATTAGTCATGTTGTGAATATTGCATTGTTCTCTGAAGGGATGTTCTGCTGTAAACTATGGTTAAAGTTCTGATGTCATGTTGTAAAATGTAATTAGGGGAGACCAGTGGCAAGAGACTGGACAAGATTCACATTTATGATTTCTCGGTTCTGTTCACAGACACGTCGTTGTGATACAGGAAGCAGAAAACAAAGAAAAATAGAAATGGGAACATAAGGCAGACTTACATGCAGAGAAAAATTAAATTTTTGTTTAGTCTCCTACCTCCTATACTCCCCACTTAACTGTTCATGACTTGAAAACTGGTTAAGCTAATGCTTCACACATTTGCCTTTGTTGAAGAAAGTCAGGATTCACCTGGGAGCAAATTAATAGTTCAGGAAAGAAAATAAATCTTATTAATTTTATACAAAAATATACGTGACACCTGACATTTTGCATGCTAACACTAATAAGATGAAGTTACACTTAAATGTTGTAGAGGCCGAGACAATTCAACAAAGATCCATATAACATCTTGATCAAAATAAAGAAAAAGGCAGGAAATTGTATTTTGCAATGTGTTCACAGAAATGAGAAAATGTTTTTTTTATGTATACAAGCGGTGCAATGATTTGGAGATTGGACAAGTAGTTTTGAGAATTTCAGTTCTGTTCTGAGAAATGCTCCAAAGCAACTGAGAAAAAAAATGCTATTTTTTGCTATTCTTTTTCTGTTAGAGTACTTTTACTTTTAAAGTATTAATATTTTTTGTGTATGTAGACGGATATATGTTTAAGTACTTAGAAAGTAATTAAAGTGTAATATTTTTTTTGAGAGAGAGATTTGAGGTGCTTTTGTTTATGTACCACCCTGTACTTAAAGCTAGTAGATGGCAGCAATGCACCTGTGAACTCTTTACTGTCTAAAGCTACACTGTGCAAATCCCATTTTGAGTACATTTTTATTTAATGCAATTTTTTTGGGGGGGAGGGGTCAGGATGACTTTTGGCTCAACATTATTGTTTTTTTAGTGCTTCTTTTTTTAGAAGATTTAACACCTCAAGGCAAGAGGCATCAATGTTGACCATTTTTAACAGCTTCATATTAATTACAGCTAAAAAATGTTTTGACAGTAAAGTACAGATATATATACACAACTTACTGACTGTAAAGAGAGTAGAAATCATTAGTTTACGTACACCACATGAAATAAAAACACATCAACACATATCAACTTAAATTACATCAAACTGAAGTTGATATAAACTTAAATTTATTAAATAGGAAGTTTAAAGCATAATTACGCAAAGCAGTGCCAGCTACAGAGGGATTATGCATCAAAAAAGGAATGTATACAGGATTCAGAATAAATATGAGTTTACAGCAGAGGGACAGCTGAGGGATAAGAGATAATTATGTGTAGAATTAAAATTTCTTTCTGTTACTTTTTAATATGGGAAAAAATCCTGCATATTCATATTTGGTGTATTGTTCAAGAAACTGTGAAAAATGTTAGCAGGATGTAGGAAATATGACTCAGAGAATTATATTATTATTATTATTATTATTATTATTATTATTATTACTTCTACTACTACTATAACTACTCATGGAATCGCAGACTACTGTGTAGCTGAGGTTTAATATTGTATTTGCTTTATTTGGATAAAGTGGAAGAGAATATCTTACGGCTCTTGGAGAGAACTGGCACTGTATGAGAAATCTTTAGATGTGATGATCGGATGACCCAGAAGGGGGCGATGAATGCCGACAGAAAAAAAAAAAAAAAAAAAAAAAAAAACAGAAAAGAAGAAGAGGGCGTGTAACGGTCATTCTGGTTGAATGTGGGACTGCTTCATGTAAAAAAAAAATGTCTTTAGTCCAGCTACAACGAGCAGTTAACTGATGCTGAAGAAACATTAACAGAGTTTAAAGAAATCATCGTCAAATCAGAGGAAGAGATGGATGATCAGCGTAGACTGCTGGATTTCTCCCGGATTCCCCGGATAATCTTACGCCGGATAGGTAGGAAACACCAGCGTTTGGATGCAGGTTAATGTCGTAATATCTGAATCTTTCTTTGTGGGGACCATTTTAGTAACTGTTTCCTTTCCGTGTATAAGTTTCGTTAACATGAAATGAACGCAGATATCACAGTTAGAATGTTAAAACCGTTTTTTAATGTAGAAAGAAAATGGAACCGTTGAAACTAGGGCGAAGCGGGAACTCGGAGTTGGCGCGGAGTAAGCAGCGTCTAGCTAAGCTCACTTTCTGAATGTGTGCCCTTTGAACCCCGCGATTTTTCAACCGTTAAATCTGTTAACGTTAAGCAAAAAATAAAAATAAATTCCCGAGACCCCTTTAAACGCTAAGATGTAATCGCGTAGTTTTAAAGGAACATTACCTGAAAAAAACATAGTGGATATTTACAGATTAAAGAATGTATTCTATATTCATCTAAGTAATACAAAATAAATAAAAAATGATTTAATGATGTAGTGTTGCTACACAACGTTGCTTGCTACACAACGTTGCTTGCTACACAACGTTGCTTGCTACACAACGTTGCTTGCTACACAACGTTGCTTGCAATCCGCCATAATAGAAAAGAAGAAGTTCCCGCTGTTTTTGCATCTGTGCGACCGAGGCAGGCTGCTCTCGTTATTTGTGTTAGAAATCAGCAAATAACTCTGAATAGTCCTTTTGAGTAACTTTTTTTGGGGGGAAATGTACTTAATAATTATTTTACTGCATTGTACTTTTTACTTTTACCTGAGTAATATTATGAACTAATCCTAATAGAAAAAACATGGACATTTCTCGAACATTTCTGAGGTTAATTTAAAAATGTCTTGCAAATTTTTAAGTTTTGGAGCTCAGAAATTTCTTTGTTTTTTGATAGAAAATTTAAAAAAAATCTTTGTGGAAATATAAAGCTTTTTTCTGTCTTTGATGTTTTTACTATATTTCAACAGGTTAAGTGTAGTTATTGTTCTGTTCTGACACGTGAAAGAGTTGGTTTGAATAGCAAACGCCACTACAAACCAAACCTAACGACATGAAAGCACGTTAGCCTTTTTATGTGGCCCTCTGGGGCCAACTGTCAAGATAACAATGTGCTTAAATATTATTTTATCAGTCAAATCAAGTGTTTTATGTTTTGATGTATTTTTTTTGTGCCAGATTATGACAATCAGTTCCTCAGGATTTTTGCGAAATATTGTGGGAATTCATGCAAAATCAACAAATCCCCACACTTTTCAAACTAATGCATAATTGTGAGTTTATTGCAGTTTTATTTTCACAAAAATCGTCAACAATACTTTGGTTTAATTGTTGCCAACTTTCTTACTTGTATGAAACAGCTGCCTCAGCCTTAACAAATCTTTACATTTTCAAAATTGTCAATGGAAATATATTTAAATTAATAACCATATTATTAATTTCTGTCAGATTACAGTGCATTTTTATATGGCAAGTAACAAAAAGTTGCACACACATAAGCTCTAATATTGTAATTATTTCTAAATTAGAACTATTAATTGTTTGATTTTTATTGCAAATAATCACAAAAACAATTTCAAAATCCTGGATGGACTGAGAAGTTGTTCAGTATTGTTTAATTTTAAGAATTCATTAAGAATTTAAAGAGTTTTATCAGTACGTTGTTTTAAACTGCTCTGAAATAAATTAAACAATAAAGAAGCAATTTTTTTGTCTTAATTAGCATTTAAGACTTTTTTCAGTTTATTTGGCCTAGAAAGTATTTTGGTTTATTCCAAACAATAAAAATGAGAACTCCAACTAAACCCCTCTTATTAACCAAGTTTAATAGAAGAAGTAATGTGCTCTCGGCCATTTTATTAGTAAAATGTCGCTAAATTTTATGTAATGGCTTCAGCATACATAAATTAAAAGATTTTAAAGTGTTTAACATTTAAATATAAGATTTTAAGGAGCTGACATGTAATTTGTAAAAGTTCAAAGAACAATATTCATAGTTAGATTGTTTTGTTACCATAGCAACAATCTGATGCTGTGAGTATAGTCTTTGAGTTTGAGCTGTGTTTGTTCACAAATTCATATTAGTAAACTGCAATTATAACTGATTGCTTCTCCCAGATTTCACTAAATCTAACACAGAAGCTGTTAGAGGTCCTGATGTTTTTAGCAGCAAGAGGGGCCCCTAAGTCAAATTCTGCTCAAGGCCTCATATAGCCTTGGACCGGCCCTGCAGGATGAGTTAAATCTGCTCCACTGTGCGCAAAGATGTGCAACAAACGGGACATTTAATTAAATGCTGCTAATGTGACTTTAATAGCTCTTCCATTTCGTGTCTGTTGAGTTTTTAATTAACGCCACAGAAACTGTTTTGGTTGCTCAACTTTATGGGACGAGTTTTTCAGATTTCTGCACGCATTGACTCTGGCTGACTAAGTGAATAATTTGATACGGTTTGATGCATCACCTAACCGGAGAAATAATAATAAAATATTATGAAACCAGCATGATGCGTGACTAGGAGGCGAGTGCGAAAACTCCTCACTGGGCTGAACCTGCGAGATGAGTTTAGCGCTGGTTTGTTAACCACTAATGCACCGGCCAACTGGGAACACATACATAAACTTTACAGGAGACACAGAGCCACACACTGGGTAGCGTGTTGAGACGTAATTCACATAATCCTTTGTTCACAAAGATAAATCGTTCTCACTGCTTCCTCAACGCACACCTCTGAAAGCGCGACTATAAATCTGAGTTGCTCCCAGTTTTTCAGCATGAAATCCAAAATCGGAGGGCGTTCCAGTTGATTTTTCTGACTGGGAGTACAACAGTAATGTGGCATAAGACCTGTGTTTTATTTTATTTTTTTATTGCTTTCCCGACAAAACTGAAGTTGGCTTCTGATTGGAGAAATGGCTAAACAGCAGTGCCACTTAAGTTTTTTTTACTACCTTGAAGAAACCTCCAGGAGGACCAGAACCTGGCTCAGTGTAAGTGGTCACTGTTGTAGGAATACTTTCTGTGTTTAATAAAAAGCTAATAGCAGAAGAAGGATAATGTTACAAATAATGTAGATTTGATTGCAGTTGCGGTTGTGTTCTAATGTGTTCCAGATGCAAAATAGTTCTGAAATCCCTCATTTTTGAAGGTTCACAAATCAAATAAATTACAAACTTGGTTTCATACATTCTGCTCTTTAAGCAGATTAAAGGTGCTGAAGATGGTGAACAATTAGGTGACATCACTCTTTAGCCGCTTCCAGAACCAAAAGCCAACTTCAGCTTTGTTCTTTCCTCTCTTTGCAAGTACAGAGACTTTCATTAGAAAACCAGTGGAACAGGAAACATGCAACACAGGTCTCGTAAAATAAGCCATAGAAAATAATTAGTTGTAAAATGTAATAATCATTTGAAATAAATACCTAGAAATAATGAAATAAACTTTAAAATAATAACAGCAATAACAACTAAAGTAAATAATTTCATATGTAAAAAGAATTATACAAAATATGAGAACAAAATAATAAAAAAGGTCATTTGGGACTTCTCCAAATGTCACTTAAGTTAAAGATAAATATGTGTTTATTTGTTGGTTTCTGTACTTAAGATTAAAGTTTGCTCTCATTTACTTGAATGCATTCGACAAATCCTCTTTTTTTCTGTTTTCTTGGTCAGACTGCCTACAGCACACCATTTATAATGAGAAGTTATGTAACGAGGAGAGGAGTTTCGCTCTGGACCAGGAGGAGTTAGAACCCCTGCAGATAAAAGAAGCAAATGGACTCAACAACGTTTCGGGGAAAGAACCAAACCCTGAGAACCAAAATTGGGAAAGAAGCAATCCCATAGACTTTGGAGCAAAAAGAGGTGAAGAAAAGAAACCTAAGAGGGATCAGAAAACCAAACAGCATGGTGAAAATTCAAGACAGAAAGGTCATGAATATCTTCCTCGAAATAGTGACTTGACTAAAAAGATATCAAAAAAGACATGTGAGAGACCTGTCTCATGTAGGAAACGTTTCAGCCGAAAAGATCACTTAAATCCTCATGTAAGAGATCACACAGGTGAGAAGCCTTTTGAATGTGTGAACTGTGGAAAAGGTTTCAGTGCAAAACGTTCTTTGACTGTTCACATGACAGCTCATATGGTTGAGAAGCCTTTTCAATGTGTTACTTGTGGCAAGAATTTCAGTTCAAAATGTTATTTGACTCGTCATATGAGAAGGCACACAGGTGAGAAGCCTTTTTTATGTGTCCATTGTGGAAAAGATTTCATTTATAACAATGATCTAACTGTTCACATCAGAGTTCATACAGGCGAGAAGCCTTTTCAATGTATTACCTGTGCCAAGCATTTCACTACAAAAATCCAATTGACAAATCACATGATGATTCACACTGGGTTGAAGCCTTTTCTATGTCTGACCTGTGGAAAAGATTTTCGTCACAAAGTTGGTTTAACTCAACACCTGAAGATTCACACTGGTGAAAAGCCGTTTTCATGTGGGAACTGTGGAAAAAGTTTTAGTCGAAAACAGGGTTTAACTCAGCACATGATGATTCACACCGGTGAAAAGCCTTTTTCGTGTGTGAACTGTGGAAAAGGTTTTCGTCACAAAGTTGGTTTAACTCAACACCTGAAGATTCACACTGGTGAAAAGCCGTTTTCATGTGTGGACTGTGGAAAAAGTTTTAGTCAAAAACAGCATTTAACTCAGCACATGATGATTCACAGAAGTGAGAGACCTTTTTGTTGCCTAAATTGTGGAAAAGGTTTCAATTCTAAACAGACATTAACAAGTCACATGACAATTCATGCAGGTAAGAAATCTTTTTCATGTTTAACTTGTGGAAAAGTTTACACCAAGAGAAATGGCTTAACTCGGCACATGAGAAGCCACACAAATGAGAATCATGGTTGACTCTCAACAGAGACATTTTAACTGGGTAAAAATCTACTCATCAAAAGTAAGTTACCGAAAACATCCATTGAAAATATTTAGTCAATTTAATACCAGATGGGTTATGGGATATTTAGTGATCTCCAAGTTAAATTGTTAAAAACAATTAACACACAAAATGTAGGAAAAAAAATATGGCCTAATTTTTAATTTTATTCCTAACCTTAACATAGTCTTCAGTGTATCCAGTAACAGGATTCAAGGGCTTTTGCTGGATTTTTGCTGCTCTAAAATTCAAAAATAAAGACAAGATAAAGTTATTTCTAAACACAGGGAGGGCATAGAGATGGTGTTAAACAACTTTTAAAGTGCAAAAGTGGTTTGCATATCACCTTTCCTTGATTAAAGAAAATTCCTAAATGCTCCAATAAGGAAGGACAAGTAAATCATAATTTGAGAAATATTTTTCATGTATGACCTACATTAAGGTTAACTGTAAAAAGTTATTAGGAAAAAAAAACAGTGATACACCTGAGGGCTTGATTGTTGTTGGTTCATAAACCTCACGTTGATATGACAACTTGTGTGTGTATAATTCTTGTAAAATTCTCAGATTTTGTGCAGTTTGCTGTTCAACATGAAACTTAAAAACACAACGGTGATAGGTTGGTCTTTAAATAAAACAAAAAGATTCAAACAGATGCTGTTATTGGTTTAAAATCATAACCAGTCTCTAGCTATTAAAAACTTATGGAACAAACACATTCTTGCTTTAAATAAAAGTCTGAAATTCACTGCAACCTAATTTTCATGCATTGATTGTTCTTGATTGTACTAATGTTTTCATTAACTGGGAATTTAAGTTTCTTTGTTGTTTTACAGTTCTAATTGACAACTGTTATTAATTTTGTTATTTTCTGCTGCAGCTGGTTGTGAAAGATTCCTCCTTTTTTCTATGTTGAAACTAGTATGTGTTCGAACATATAGGTTTAAGATCTTCAAAAGTTATTAAAGTATAATATTTCATATGAGAGCGTGTATATGTGCATGTGTACATTATATATATATATATATATATATATATATATATATATATAGTGTGTAGGTATGAATGTATATATAATTGTGGGTGGGTGTGTTTGTATATACAGTATTTATATATATGCACAATTGACCGATTGTTGGTACATAGAGTTGAAACCAGCCGTTTATACAGAAAGCATAAAAAAGCCCACCTTTTTTCTAATTTTACGCAAATAAACAAAGTTATGAAAAAATAAATGTTGATATGGAGGTAAATGTGTTCAAATACTGAAGCTATTTTTAAGGAACACAAAGCAGTGGCAGCTAAAGAGAGCTAATGCATCAAAAAGGCATTTATACAAGATCCATGAGTTTTCAGCAGAGGGACAACAGAAGGATAAGAGATGAGTAAGTGTAGAATTAATATATCTTCCTGTTATGCTTTAGTATGGGAAAGCATGCTCTTGGTTCTGATTTGGTGTAGTTATGAAGAAACTGAAACATTTTTGTGGGATGTTGGAAATAGGAATCAGGATATTTCCCGAGGTTTGCGGAGTATAAGGGAGCCGAGGTTCAATGTTAAGGAGGAACAAATCTGACATAATTAAGAAGAAATGAAGAAACAAATTCTCAATAAGTAAGATATGTTATTAATTGGCTTCTTTATTTAATCACCTTTGCAATAATAATAATTACCTTATTTATTTATTTGTGTATTTACTGAATGAGTGAATAACTAAATAAAGGTTATTACTGGAAATGTGATTAAATAAAGAAGAATTAATGATATGCTTATTTATTTCTGAACATATTCTTAATTATATCAGTTTTGGTCCTCCATATATAATGATGCGTTTATTTCAGCAAATCTGAAGGGAAAGACAATATTTAGAGTGTTTTTTTTTTTTGTTTTTTTTTTTGAGAACTGGCACTGAATATGAAATCTTTAGACGTGATGATCATATGATCCAGAAGGTGGCGACAATGCAACAATATGAATTTCGACAGTCATATCCCCGAAGAAGAAGAAGAAGCAGAAAAAGAAGAAGAAGAAAACGGTGGATGGTTTGCTTGGTTGAACGTTCGAGTGTTTCTTCTAAAACAATGTCTTCATTCCAGCTTCAAATAGAGTTTGTGAGTGAGCGGTTAATTTCTGCTGAAGAAACATTTACAGAGTTTTAAAGAAATCATCGTCAAGGAAGAGATGAAGGAACAGATGGACGATCAGGATTTCTCCCGGACTCCCCAGATAATCTTACACCGAATAGATAGGAGACGCCAGCGTTTGGATGCAGGTTAAGGTCTTAATATCTGAAGCTTTGTGAATAATGATCATTTTAGTAACTGTTCCCCTCCCGTATAAGTGTTTTGTTAACAGGAAAATGAACGCAAACATCACAGTTACCCTGTTATAAGGGTTTATTGGTGTAAAGAGAAAATGGAACCAATGGAGCTAGTGCCGCGTCAGCGTTCTGCAGTATGAAACTTATAAAAAAAATGTTCTTTACATATTTGTTAAAACTATCACAGTACAATATAAGGCAGATAATCTTTTGTAAAACCGGACTCCTTTGCCTTCCCCCTGCTGTCATCTGCACACATACACTGCTCCTTCAGAACCAATCGCAACCAGCACGAGGATCTGACGCAAGCTGTCAATCATTCTTGTGGAGGCGCAACACTACAACTGGTTTTCCACAAATGAGCCTTCCATGACTGCTCAGGCAAGTTAGCGTGGCCAATTATGATGGCAAATAAACATTTTGCTTGGGAAAGTAATTTTTTTTTCTCTGCCATTAGTACATTTTGCTGCATGTACATGAGCTTGATTGACAGCACTAAGACACTTTTTGCTCTCACTGGTTGTTTTTGACCAGGAGCTGCACATTTCTTCAGACGGCAGAAGTATCACTGGAAGGAGTAGGAGCTTGATTTATTTTTTCACAGATTATCTGTCTCATATTAGGATGTCACAAAATAGTGACAGTTTACACAAATATGTAAAAGACATTACATGTTTGTAATGTCTTTAAAATAACTTGTACTTTTTTTTAAGTAAAAGTAACATTCTGCAGCTTTAAGAAATCAGAATTTCAACATGACAATGCCCATAAACGTTGTTCTCTATAGCTCTTACAAACATCATTTTAAGCTGTTAATTTTTTCAGTATAGACTTGCAGGCGATGCATGCAACATTGATTTTAGTCGCACTTTTACATGTATCTTGTAAAATAAACGTTTCCATTCCACCACATCTTACTGCTGTTGATTTGAAGAGCGGCTATGCTGAGGCACGAAGTCCACCTCGTTACAAGTCGTAACTGGGGGTAGTCAGAGTTGTTCCCGGTTTGAAATCCAAATTCAGATGGCGTTCAAGGTTATTTTTCCGTATGGAAAGTTTGAATTTCCCAGTTCCAAGTCCAACTGGAATGCAGCATAAGAAGTCAGTGGTGTTTCATTTTCTTTCTAGCTCCCTCACATGTAAATACAGAGATTTGCAACATTGCTGTAGCTAAACATGGATCCTAAGTAAACTAAACAATGAAATTTGTTCGAATGGCCATTGAAGAATCAAAGCGTGCATGAGAAAACAAAACAAAGAATAAATAAACCAAAAGAAATATTCATCACAAATAGTTGAAACCCATCAATATTTCCCCAACTCCTCTCTCCCTTCAGTTCACACCAACTCCATAGTCTTCACAGCTCGGGTTATGGTTGGTGTCCCTCTATGTCACTGATATTTCTGCTCACACTAACATGCTATGCTGATAGGCTGCAGTAGCCCACATGAGGCCCTGAAAACTGACAGCGATTGGCTGTAGCAGCTTGGTAGCAAAATCGCAAGAACAACTACTGGTTGGATTAGAAATATCGTGAAATTTTAACTGTAAGAACAAATGCAGAGCAGACGGAGAGGAGATGAGGAGACAGATTTTGGATTTAACACCTGGGTCATGTTAACAACTCCATTTTGTTTCTGTTTTTTTGTCCAGATTGCCTGCAGCATAACGTTTATAAGGAGGAGCTCTGTAACCAGGAGGAATTAGAACCGCTGCAGGTGAAACAAGAACAGGAAGACCCAGGATTTCTGCAGATTAAAGAAGAGCAAGAGGATCTAGAACACAGGCAGATAAAAGTGGAAGAAAAAGAAGTTTACTGCAGTCAGGCTGATGAAGAGGTGACCCTAAAACAGGAGACTGATGCATTCAGGACTAGTCCTGTTTATGAGAAAACATACCAAACTGAATCAGAAACAAAAGGGATCCAAGTCATCATCCAGGAAGCTGCTGAATCTGAGAAACAAAATCAGGAAAGACGAAAGCCTTTCTCATGTGTCATCTGTGAAAAGCGTTTCGCTTTAAAATCCGCTTTCAATGTTCACATGAGAACTCATACTGGTGAAAAACTGTTTACATGCGAGACCTGTGGAAAATGTTTCCTTTTCAAATCTGCTTTCAATGATCACATGACAACTCACACAAGTGAAAAACCGTTCAGATGCGAGACCTGTGGAAAAGGTTTTAGTTTAAAAAAGTATTTAAATAAACACAAGACAATTCACACAGATGAAAAGCCTTTCTCATGTGTGACATGTGGAAAGTGTTTTGCTTTCAAATCTGCTTTTGATGCTCACATGAGAACTCACACAGGAGAAAAGCCGTTTTCATGTGAAACCTGTGGAAAATGTTTTAGTCAAAAGCAGTATTTAACTAAGCACATGACGATTCACACAGGTGAAAAGCCATTTTCATGTGTGACCTGCAAAAAATGCTTTGTATTCAAATATCTTTTTCTGGAGCACGTGCGAATTCACTCAGGTGAAAAGCCTTTTTCATGTGTCACCTGTGGAAAAAGTTTCAGTAAAAAGCGTGTTTTACGTCGTCATATTATAATTCACAGAAATAAGAAGCCTTTTTGGTGTTTGACTTGTGGAAAAGGTTTCAATGAAAAATGCCATTTAACTGTTCACATGAGAAATCATTCAGGTGAGAAACCTTTTTCATGTTTAACTTGTGGAAAAGGTTTCATTCGGAAATGTTCTTTAACAAAGCACATGAGATGCCACACAGATGAGAAGCATGGGGGAAAAATTAACACCCACCACTTGTGAAATTATGCTAAATTTATAATGTGAAACAATAGAAGCCTAGAGAATTAAAAAACTACTCAATTCAGTAAAGCTTGTTGCCATAGATACTTTGTAACTGAGTAAAAATCTACTCTAACCTTAAGTAAACATATGTTGAGTAAAAAGCACTTAATTACTTTTTCAAAACTAGTTTTGGGGTATTTGGTGTTTTCAAATAAATTAACATATTAGGAAAAATTCTACACAAATAAAAGTTGATTTATAAACATGAGGAAGCAGAAAAAGATATTGTGTAAAATGATTCTGTTTAACAAACTGTTTTCTACTTGGAGTTTTCTTGAGTGTTGTATTTCCTGCTATTGAAGGTTATCACATTTCCCTCATGACAAAAAATTATCTAAATGTTGCATGCAGGAGAGAAAAGTAAATCTAAGTGTTTTTTTTTTTTAAATCATAGAACAGAAAACTGGAACATATTAAATGGTTGAACTTTCTCAATAAATCTATAGGAAAAAAACCCTGTGACTGGTTCATCTTTAAGTGGCACTGTATGAGAACTCTTTAGATGTGATGATCGTATGATCCACAAGGTGGCGGTAATGTAATAACATGGAAGCCGACAGTCATAAAACCCCAAAGAAGAAGAAGAAGAAGAAGAAGACGACAGGACGCGGTCTGTCCTGTTGAATGTTTCTCTAAAAATATCTTCAGTCCAGCTTAAACGAGTTTCTCAACGAGCGGTTAACTGCTGCTGAAGAAACTTTCACGGAGTTTAAAGAAATCATCGTCAAGTCGGAGGAAGAGATGGACGATCAGCGCAGACTGCTGGATTTCTCCCGGACTCCCCGGATAATCTTACATCGAATAGGTAGGAAACACCAGCGTTTGGATGCAGGTTAATGTCTAAATGTAGAAGCTTTCTGTATGAAGATCATTTTAGTAACTGTTCCCCTCCCGTATAAATGTTTTGTTAACGTGTAAATGAACGCAGACAACACAATGACCCCAGCCAGCATGCCTAGGGGGGACCCGTGTTAGGGCCCATGTGGGCTCTGGCCCTACATGGGCAAACCCATGTGGGGCCATCGTGGAACCCGCGGACAAACCCATATGGGACCCATATAGTCTGCCCTCCTTTCCCCCACATGGGGCCCACCTAGGCATGCTGGCAGGGACGCTGTGAGAATGGCTTATTTATGTAGAGAGAAAATGGAGCCAGTGACCTTCTTACGGCTCTGCTCCTTTAACTACCGAGTCTTACTCTTGAAAACAGGAGAAATGTGAACAATGCAGAGCAAGGTTAGTAAAGCTAGCAACATAAACTAATAATAGCGGTGCTAGTAGCTGTAAAATGTAATAATTTGTAATAAATTGTAGGGGCGATTGTTTGTCAAACCAGATATCCTATAAAAGTCCAACCAATAAGCCACTGCTGCACTGAGGTGATGCTTCATACGTAGATAAAAGAAGTTCAATGTCCAAAAAACCTTAAGATTGCTTTTATAGTTTATTTTTCCCAGTTTGACAAGCAAATAACAAAACCTATTTTTTCATTAGTGATGTGTCGAGTAATCCAGGAGGATTTTTATGAAGCACGTAAAACAGAGAACTCACCTGAACCTGAGCAGTTATAGTTTTTATTTTTAAGTAATAAATCGTTGTCCACATAGCGAGTAACAAGCAAATCTCAACTCTCTCTCTCCTGTTTGTTTCCAGTTTTCTTTTTGATTCAGCCATTGTTTCATACAACCAGATTAATCAGAATTTATGTATCAAACATCTTTTACTTGTTTATTCATTGTAAGGCTTCATGTTGCCTATTTTACATATATTGTCCCCTTGATGTCACAGCAGAGCACAAGGGCGTAGGAACAAGTTTATCATTGGGGGGAGACGTATTGGAAACCTGAAAGATCCGTAAATAGCTTGAGCTAAAATGTCAAACAATGGTTTCATCAACGCGTTGGTCTAATCTGACCCCTTGTAACTTGTAATCTAACGTGTTACTATTTACAATCCAATATTCAGATTAAAGTTTCCAAGTCACTCTGTGTTAGTACTTTTTTTTAAACACATATTGTTGCTTTCTTCTTTTTCCTTGGGGAGATACGTTTCATGTGTAACACCAGCGACACTAAACGATGGAGGGAAAAGAGATGCACATTTTCTAGCTGATGGATGAATTTTGCACGAGTAATCAAATTACTCTTTCAAAGTAACTATGCCATCCCTAGTAATAAACTAACTACACTATATATCATATGTTTGTAGGCTTGTCACAATAACATTTTGATTTTTGATAAACGATATTATTGTTGTTTTGAGACCTTTTTTAAGAAATAAAATCCATCCATCCCTTTTCTTTACACCCTTGTCCCTTAGTGGGGTCGGGAGAGGTAAGTAATAAAATGTTAATGGCAAAATAATAATGCAACAACATAATCTGAAAGATAGTAAACTTTACATTATAATGAACATTTAACACTGCAACTGGAAGACATTTCAAATAAAAATAAATAAAACAAATAGAATAAATTTGTCTTTGTAAATAAAATTTTCCTTCAAAAAAGCTTTAGTTGATACCAAAGCACCAACCTGAAGATCATCCCAGGTGTATGGATGGCCGTCCACAACCGTACTCAGAGCTCACAAGAAAGGTGTAATATGTCACACACAACAAATGATTTCTTACAATTTTGTAAGTATTTTACCAAATACACATTGTTTTGTGATCTTTCTTTGAAAATGTATGTATTAGAGATAGTACTCACCTTTGAAGGGTCCCATTCATTTTTTCAGCCAACCCGTTACTTTGGGGGTGGTATGGGGAACACAGACTTCGTTTAATATTGAGAACTTTGCACACTTCTTGGTTTATCTGAAAATTTACGAACAAATAGCTATAACAAAATAACCTGCTTTAAACAGCATATCGAAACAAATAGTGTAAAGGAGGACATTCATAGTGTTAAATTTCTCTAAGATATTGAAAACAAATACTTACAGAATTTACAAATTCTCTTCCTTGGTCCATCAAAATCCCTTTTGGGGCCTCAAGCTGATGCACAAACGTAATTATGCATTCCGTAACTTCAGGTGCCGATTTGTTCTTCAGTGGATAAGCTTGTGGCTCTTTGTGAAATAGTCAATCATGACACAAATATATTTGTGTCCAGATTTTGTTTCGGCAAGTTTTCCAATGAGGTCCATCCCAATTAGTTCAAAGGGATGGGAAACCTTAAATGAAAGACTTAATAGATTAAGGCAACAATCACCTGTTGGAGTCTTTGTCAGTTTTACTTGTACAAACTTCTCTTGTGGAGAGAAATGTTGAGAGCACATATGTTGGTCCTTTGGAAGTTCTGTTCGGCTCCGACTTGCTCCCACTGCTGCTCCTTTATGTTTCATGTGGGAGATGATCCAGATTCACCTCACAGTTATTTTTTGTTTTTTAATTACAGCCAACAGTCACACATTGTGTCATTATCTAACATTACACCAGTCCAGTACAATATGATAAACAAGAGCTCAGGTGAAGTTAGCCTTCCTGTGTTTACTCTGTAGATTCCAGTACAGGATGGATTAAAACGCATCATCAACCCAACAGGTGGAAAGATGGAGACCTCCATGGATGAAACGTATAACAAATTATATAAACTTTTTGAAATAATTGTGTTTTGGTGTATCACAAGCAGCCATTTTTTTAGTAAATAGGAAAATTAAAACATATTTAGGCCAACATGTTCAACGACTCTTGGATCCCTTTAAGCCTCTCAGTTTCAGTCGGCAGTTCGTCACCTCAACTCGTTTTCTCCTGTTAAACTTCCTGCATCTCTGCTGTCTTGGTTGGCCGGGTTTTTTTAGATTATGTTTATTTCATTCCAAATTTGGAGAATTTTCTTATTAAAACATCAACAGAACTTTACGCCTTTCGTAATTTGGATCCACTTCATCTTACATCATGACACCCACAGTTCTTTCTATCTAACTTATAAAAGTAAAGAAACAAATTCCAAAATAAACAATTAACATAAAATTTAACTCCAAGTTTAATAGAAATAAAAAGTAAATATCTCCAACATGGATGACAGACTTTATTAAATGCAGCGCAGCCACAAAGTGTCCACTGTGCACCTGAAATCATAGGATATGATTAATGTACACTAATATTACACCGCTACACAGCTTCAATCTATTATCGCTACAAACATCTATTTAACAAAATTTAGTAATAGAGTGTTATTAAACTAAAATATTTTAAAGCATAGGGACAAAAAAGCCCACATAATGTATTTTGTCCTGATTAACTGCCAAGTAATAACTTGTTGAACGAATTTGCAGAGAGAAAATTAAAGATTATAAATATATTTAGAAGCTCCCTGTTATGTAAACTAAAAACATGAAGGCTTGATGAAACCCAAGTATAAAATAAATTAAATAAAACTTAATGTAATTTGCAATGAAATAAAACGCATGAAACAAAATTTCCACAGGTAGGACGTATTTTTAAGAAATCTGCTGAGTAAACGGTATGTGACGTAACGTCGATGTGCGCATTACCGCAAGGTAGGACGGATTTTTGGGTAGCTCTGATAGTCACGCCCCACCATCCGTCTCAGTTGTTGAGTCCTCGGGCAAGATATTTCACCTGATATGCTCGTATTATCCAGAAGGGGGCGGTAATGCAACAATGTGAATACCGACAGTCATAAAATCCCAAAGAAGAAGAATAGGAGGAAGGAAACAGGCTTCTCAAACTGTCACATAATTCTAATATTACAATGGAACGGTCGCAGTCTAATAGCAAATAGTCAGGAACTTAAAGGCTTCACTAATAACCTAAATACAAAACCAGATATAATATGCATTCAGGAAACATGGCTCAAGCCATCATAGCAGTTTAATATTCATGGTTATTCAGTTTTATGTAAAGACAGGATAAATGGGAATGGAGGAGGTTGTGCCGTATTCATAAAGGAAAACATAAAAAGTATTCAGCTCCAAATAATATCAGACTTAGAACTTACTGCTGTAGAAATATGGACAGATGATGAGAATATTAAAATAATAAATTATTACAATCTGTGTAAACAATTAGAAAAGTTAAAACTTGAAACAATCCTAGAATACTGGAGAGGGAAAATAGTTTGGTGTGGGGACTTCAGTACACAGCACTTTATGGGGAGATCAAGATGATTATAATGGAGGGATTTTAGAAGAGATGATTGAAGAAAATGGATTGGTCATTTTAAATAATGGAGTAGGTATTCTGGTGGACTTTATAAGGGGTAAGGAGTCTGCCATTGATCTGACTTTGGTTTCTCAATCTATTGCTGATATTTGCAAATGGAGAGTATTTAAAGAATGCACAATGGGGAGTGATCAGTGTAGGAATAGATACAGAGCAAGGCCAGGTAGAAACTCCGGGGAGATGGAAGTTTGGGAAAGCAAACTGGGATAATTTTAAAATGGTGACTTGAAGGTTGCTTTTATGATTTATTTTTTTTTCCAGTTTGACGAGCAAATAAAGAAAAAAACTTTTGTTTCCTCTCCTTCTCTAGTGGAAACCAACAGGCCAACCCAGTGTATGCTGGTCTTATACCAGTTCCTTTATTTAGAGAAAATAGACCCACAGTTCTAAAGTTAATCTTAATAAATATATAATATAAAACAATTGGTAACATACAAATAAACTGTGTAAATAAACAGCAAAATATAAAGTGGACTAAAAATAAATGTTAACATATTTCAAAGTAATAAAAATAAAGGATAGCTCAAAAATAAATAAGATCTAAAAATACCATTAATGCTGACACTGAATGATTTCATAATAAATAAATAAATAATTTATGAAAATCTGGTCATTTAATAATTTTCCAAATGTCAACTGATCTGTCTGTCTGCAATCCTGAATTTTCAAGTGTGTTATTTTGTTCCTTTTAGTCTTGCATGCGGAAAGTCTTCGGTCATTTACTTTAATGAATGGTATGTTTATTGAGGTCAACAATAAAGTTAACAATTCCTCTTTTTTTTTCTGTTTTCTTGTCCAGATTGCCTGGAACATAAAGTTCATAGCCAGGAGAGGATTTCCACTCTGGACCAGGACGAGCCAGAACCTCTGCAGATGAACCAAGATGACAGTGTCATCTTCCAGGAAGCTGCTGAAGCTGAGAACCAAAATCGGGGAAGAAGAAAACCTTTCTCATGCGGCGTCTGTGAAAAACGTTTTGCTTTCAAATCCGTTTTTGATGCTCACATGAGAACTCATACGGGTGAAAAGCCGTTTTCATGTGTGAACTGTGAAAAATGTTATAAAGTAAAATCTCAATTAACTCAGCACATGAGGATTCAC